GCCCTAATCCTCAATGTGATGGTATTTGGAGATGGGGCTTTTAGGATATAACTGGGTTTAGATGAGGTCATGACAGTAGAGCCCCCATGATGGGATTAGTGCCCTTATAAGAGGATGAGACCAGAACCTTCTCTCCTCTGATATAATTACCCACATAAACCTTCACATATTGAAGAGCTGGTTGATCTCTTAATGAAGGGGTCTCTAATTCCTGGGCTGCAGACCAGTACTGGTCCATGGCCTGTCAGGAGCGGGGCCGTACAGAAGGAAGTGAGCGAAGGGTGAGCGAGCATTACCACCTGTCACATCAGCAGCAGCATTAGATTCTTATAGGAATGTGAACCTTACTGTGAACTGCAGATGCAAGGGATCTAGGTTGTGTGCTCCTTATGAGAAAATGCCTAATGATCTGAGGTGGAATGGCTTCATCCTGACACCCTCCCAGGCCCCTGGTGCGTGGAAAAATTGTCTTCCATGAAACCTGTCCCTGGTGCCAAATAGGTTGGGGACTGCTGGTTTAAAGGACTGATGATGCTTTTAATGCAATGAGTGACACAGATGAAGTATATAATGTGAATTCCAGCAAAAATGGTAGTCTAGCTTTTGAGAATGAAGAACAGAACCTATCTGATTCTTTTTAAAATTATTTTCTTGTTATATAATTATGGTCATTCAACAGCCAATTTCTATTAGACTTCTTTTTTATTGCTTGTTGTACATATGTATAAGTGACTATTTGTCTTTTCTATAAGCAATCATAACATTGGAAATAATTTTTCTGTCTCCATTGTACCAGTTTTTCTTGAACCATTTGTTAATCTATAAGTTCTATGGCTACATAGAAATCTATTCACATTCACAGGATTTTGCAACATGCTTTGCTCCATTTTTACAGTTATATTTGCTTTCTCCATATTTATTCTACAGGAATTAATTTATAGTTTGGCTTCCTTCTTAGTTATGTAGTCTTGAAATGCCATATTCACATTTGCTTTTATGGTTCCCATATTAAGTTAGTTCAGGGCTTTATTTATCCATGCATTTATATATTTGAGCATTTTTGTTGCTTGCTTTATACAAGCTTTAACTGAGACTAATACATGTCTTTCTTTTCTTTTTGTAGAGACAGGGTCTTGTTATGTTGCCCAGGCTAGTCTCAAACACCTGGCCTCAACTGATCCTCCCACCTCAGCTTCTGAAAGTGCTGGGATTACAGGCATGAGCCACCACAAGAACACATTTCTATAAGGTTATGGGGTTTTACTTTTTTCCAGTGTTAATTAGTTTCACATATCTAGAATTTATAATTTCTTACTGGATACTAGTATAGAATTACTGTATTTATTTACCTGAACAAATTAATGTTTCCCTCTACAAACTACTTTAGAAAGATTTTCAATAAAGGTAAATGGGACATAATAATCTATTAAGAGAAAATGACTCAGAGTGGAATCTGTAGCAAAATATAAATTTGCTGTCTTTAAAAGACGAATTGAAAGCAAAAGATTCCAAAAGCTTGAAAAAAATGGAGATGCCCTAAATAAACTTACCATTGAAAACAGAAAATGTTGAATACAATAAAAAAATGCATTGTTGTGCTGCCAAGAAAGAAAATGCTTTAGAGGTAAACATTAATGAAGTGAATGAATGAATCCAGAGAGGCAAAAGAACCCTGACGTAAGCACCTACTCTGAAAGGGTCTGCTGATTTTTAATGAACTTGAGCTTCCTTTTAATAAAAGCTGCATTGGAGCTTAGAAGAAAGGAGACAAAAGAGACTGCCCAACATGCAGAGGCTAAGAGGAGACCTACACATAAGCCAGAATGCCTTATATCTTCAGTGAAAAGTGAACAACAATAGCAACAATGAAAAACCAAACCAACCAGAAGAGGGGAATAAGGAAACTTGTCTATCAAAAACTAGATGCTAGGTAGGAAAAAAAAAAAAAAAGACTCATTTCCTATGATATCCAAAAAACCCTCAAGTCAATTATTTAAAGTGCTTATTAATCAGCAGAAATAAATCACTTAGAAGGATTAAAATTATATTCTCTTTGGTGGAATAGTCTTCTATCCAGACCTCAAATAATTCCTATAAAATTCCACTGAACATAAGCTCAAGTTCAAAAAATCATAAAACAGGTGAGGATCTTTACCTCTGATGAGTGGCAGGGTATAAGTGGCTCATGTGGGTGATCCCAACACTTTGGGAGGTTGAGGTGTGGGATCACTTGAAGCCAGGAGTTCAAAACCAGCCTGGCCAACATAGTGAGACCCTGTCTCTGTTTTTAAAAAACAAATAAAGTCCAATGAGTTGAGTGCCAGCAGAAAAAGAAAACTGACAGAATTATATCTATAAATGTTTTAGATACTAGAATTATCTGTTGCTGAATAGAAATATACCTTTTCCTCGTTATTACGTTTAATTCACTCCTGAAAACCCTACTGCTAAGTGAAAAGCCACTAAATGAAAATAATATTTTCACTGGAAAATCATGATGCATTCTGTGTAAACCCAAGAAAACAAATTCAGACCAAAAAAATCAATTTTACCAGAGATAAGCTTATATAAACAAGTTGAAATAATAAAGACAGTTTATTTACAAACTATAATGTAATGAAGGCTTGTTGTAAACTTTCTTTCTTCTTTACCAATTTTTCAGTCTTTAGGGGGGCCTATAGTTATTTTACACTCTAAATTTATAGCACTTAAAGTTACAGCACAGAAAAACACTGTGAGTTTAATGTTCCTGTGGCTTACAACACCTTACAGGAGCTGGCTCCTTTGCAGTCGCTTTACATTAATCACTTCCTACTCTTTCTCATTGGTGTCTGAGCTCTGATTCATTGGCTTCTGTTCAGTTCTTCACACTCCAGACTCTCCCATGGCTCAGAACTGTCAAATATGTTGGTCCTACCACCTGGAATGCATCCTCTGCTACTCTTCACCTGACTGGTTTCTTTCCAACGTTCTAATTTCATATTAAGTGTAATGGACCTAGAGAAGCCCCCTCTTACCACCTTGTGGAAATTGGTCCCTCTTCTGCACCTCCATCCCCCACCACTTTCCTCTGGCCATATTGAAGGATCTTGAGAGATATACAGATAGGTACAGTTCTATATAGACAAATGAAAGAGCTAAAGGCAGAATATATTTAGTGTTTTAATTGAATGATGCTGGAGTTCTGCTCAAATTGGGAAGTCAAATCTGATTGAGGTTATTACCTTAGGAAAAGGACAATACTAATTGGTCAATGTTCAGGGGAGTTCAGATAGTAACTGCAACCTAAGACCAGCTAGGCCTGTGATATGGTTTGGCTGTGTCCCCACCCAAATCTCATCTTGAATTATAGTTTCCATAATCCCCATCTGCTGTGGGAGGGACCTGATGGGAGTTAACTGAATCATGAGGGTGGTTACTCCCATGCTGCTGTTTTCATGAGAGTGAGTTCTCACGATATCTGATGGTTTTACAAGGGGCTTTTCCCCCTTTTGCTCGGCACTTCTCCTTGCTGCCGCCATGTGAAGAAGGATGTGTTTGCTCCCCCTTCTCCCCAGCCATGCTGAACTGTAAATGTCTTTCCTTTATAAATTACCCAGTCTCAGATATATCTTTATTAGCAGCATGAGAATGAACTAAAACAGCCTGTGAATATTATTTGCCACTCTCACTAACATGCATTAAATGTGCCCACTCATTCAAGCTCTGAGGGTGGATCACTTTGTTTCACCCTAATCTGAGGATTCTCAAGAATGTAGTATGTGGTCATTATCCCACCTCCTTCTACCTGAGGTAGGATAACTTTAAAATGGTGCAAACTGGACTTGGACTGTAGACCATACTGAGATGCTGATGTACTTGCCCGCTTGTGGGAACCCACTTCCCCATGACCTCAAAGATAACCTTGTTTTGTGTGCTTGCTGATAGATGAGAAGGCTTGTCTCTCACACCAAAGGCTGGCATTTGTGACAATTTCCATGCCTATAGGGCCTAACCCAACATCTGGCTCAAACATGGGACGCTGATATTCATGAAGGGCATTCTAGCAGAATATATCAGAGAAAACGTATCAGAGGTGAACGTGTGATTGATGTATGATCTCCTTTGGTGGTCCCTCTGGAATAAAACTTCAACACTCTCTGTAACTGGTCTACAGATAAAGGTAACACATCCTGTTGGATATAGTTCTCTATGTATTTTGTTGAATCCATTCCATTATATTTATTAATTGTGTGATTAAGACTTAAGAAAATGCTTTAGGGTTCTCCTTCTGGTTGTGTAACTTAAAATGCTAAAATGTATTATATATCAAATAATTTCCTAAGAGTCACCAAGGGGGTTCACAGAGAAACTACGATTTGGGTTTTCTTGTTCACCCAGATAGCCATTTCTCAGCCCCAGAAACCCAAAGTGTGAGGTAGTGCTCTGCCTCTACCTGGGGCTTAGCTCTGCTATTTGCATAATTTTGGTTCCAAGTTGCCCTCTTACTTTCACTGGAGGAAATTGAGGGTTGAGTCAGCATGTGATAAGGGAATGGTTAAATGGCTTGGATGTGTTGTTTCCTCTACTTGATTTGATGGGTTTGTAGATCCAACTCCATTTCCCCTGTATGAAAAGCCTTGGTGAGCTCAGGCGGGTACCTAAGCTTGGGTTGCAGTCACTACGCAAAGTCCCTCAACCCAGCCTTAGACATCAGCCTCCTAAGAGTTTGGATTTTCCGTGCCCTTCAGGTGACCAGAAAGAAGAAATTTATCTCAAGTTGTGGCAAATAACCCTTCTAGGAAAAAATATACATTACTCCCACTGCCCCCCACCCTACTGCCACCTCACCCCCATGGCATTTTCCTACGTCTTTGAATAAACCCAAGAGAGATCCTAAGTAAAACCAATTCCTAAAATCACTCCTGTCCCTCCAACCATCCCCAATGGACTGATCTCAGATTTCTATCTTGAAACAAAGAGGTTGGAAATCAGCTTTTAGTACTGTGTTGAATGAAATATTTCACATGCCATTACTGTAGTTTTAATGTTAAAAACAATTTAGGAATATATTATAAACAAAACAATAAGTTCATAGTATTCCAAAATTTTACTTGTTAAGTGCACTATTAATAGCCTACTGCTATATGATATTCATTTCTAAGCTACTGGATGTTAACAGAGCTAAACTCAGACCTGGCCATTTTAAAATCATATCTCTCTTTATGTTCACAAAAGCTCATTAACCATCTTAAAAATCCTCTAAGCACTGACTTCACAAAAGCAAAAATAGAAAAATAGTTCTTTGTTTACTGGATACCCAAGAATTAATTTTAAAATTTAAATTTGGCTTTAGTATCATTAAGTAAGGATATCACATCCTCAGAACCAAAAACTAACAAAAACTCATTTTCTTCTTTCAGGAAATTAACAGCTTTAAAAAGGCAAAAAGAGGGTTGAGGATATATAAATATAACAACTTTTAACTAGCTAATTAAAGAGAGGATTAGCAAAGATAATTGAAGTCTACTTATAATTTCAAATTTGCATTTTGAAAAAGTGTTATTTTTAATTCAAAGAGATTAAAATAAGGAGCAAAACTGATATGAATTTCAAATACTCTTTCTCTGCCAATGATCAAAACAATTAGAGATGAAATGAAAACAAAATCTTAGGTAATTAACAGACTGGATAGTCAAGTTTAAAATCAGTAAGGGTTAACTGTCAATATACTTTGATATCAGAAAGCTTACATCAAGGTTTGTTAGAAGGGAGATTAAACAGTTGTTGATATGTTACACAGAAAGAAAAGAGTAAAAGGAGGTATGGAGAGAAAGCTGTGAGTCCTTTGGGTCCTCCCCAAATCTTCTATCACTAAAGAAAAGTAACTGGTTGCAAGTGTGACAGGATAGTAACAGTAACCTCCGGGCTCACTGCAGAAAGGAAGTCGGCCTTTGATTTCAATAATTCAGGGTCCTGTGGGAGAGACAGTCTTCTCAGTGGAGAAAGGGGAAGATTGTGGTGCCTAGAGGAAGAGCCCTTTGGTTCTTTGAAACTTTGAGTTTTCTGTATAGCAAAAAGTAGAGACTTAAATTCATCTTTGGGGAAGACCTTTTCCTTTGTTATGAGAAAGCTGCCCTTTACTGAGTTATAGGAACTGAAACAAGTCCTCACCTGACCCAACGTTTCTGAAGAGAGGAAAGTGGTGACATCGAAATGAATTCAGAAGCATCCATTCTAGAGTTAGACAGAGCAACCAGATGAGCTGGTGTATTTCGAGTCGTATATAATTGAGACGTGTTATAGTTTGGTATTAAAGTGCCTGTCTAAATGCAGTAGCACAGAGTTTTCCTAAATTCCAAATGAATATTTATTAAAATGAAGATATATTATAGTGGTTTAAAATTAGACAACTTTAAAATAGAATTAGGAACCAGAAATTGAGATGAGAGTTCCTAAAGACAGATGGAATTAATCAATTACAATTTTCCTCTTGATTCCACTTCATCCATATAAACAGAAATTTCTCCACAAAAAAATCTGTGAAATGAATGACTTAGAGTTGTGACTCCTAGAGTTTTTGCCCCTTCACAAAGTAAGACTTTTTAAGGCTCACAATAGGTACCTCAATGCTTGTCGATTGATGTGAGAGTTCATTTGCTAGGAGAGTTTATTCAAGTTCATCTAAAATTCCCTGAGAAAAGAATGCACTATTTAAGGTAGATTATGTCTCAAGGTACAAAACCTGATTTGATAGAGAGGCACTAGCTACTAGCTTCCAAGCTTCCATCCTTTAAATCAGTGAAAGAAAGGAAATCCAGGCTCTTCAGTTTAGCTTCAGCACTATCAGTAAACTCCCTGGAGGCTTTCTGCAGTGGAAGCCGGGGTGGGCCCATTGGAATCCCAGAGACCAGAGTCATGATGGCTTTGGTCTGTGACACTCCAAAACCTAGACAGGAAAAATAAATTAGGAAACATGATTGGTACTGTCTGTCTCTCCACAAACATCCCAAAGAAGGAGATCATATGCTAACAGCAACTACTACAACAAGGTAAGATTAAAACAAAAGTTGGGAACATTTCTAGTCAATATGACAGATGAGCAATCATTTGAAATCCCTCTTCCTGCTTCAAACACATAGAAACGCTGGAAAATTTTAAAAGTTGATCACAGTAAAAGAAAACGAAGACTCAAGGTTAATCTTAAACCCAAGAAGGAGAAGCCAAAGGTATCAGGAATAAAGAGGTTAGAAAGGTGAGGAGAAGCTGATGCCAAACAGCCCTTGAGGATAATCTGATTTAGGAATATACTATTGTTGATCAAAGGAGGTAGGACTTTATTGCCAGGATGAAATTTAGTTTAAGTTTATTTAGGAAGTCCCTGAGAAATGCAGTACTTAAGGTGGCTTATGACTCAACGCTGCTGTTTTCATGCTGGTGTTATACGGCTGGGATGGGAATGGAAAATGAAGCCTTAGATCTGTGCATGGTGAGAAGCTGGAATTAAACTCCCTATGTAAAACCAGTAGTCAGCCTTCTATGAAAAGCAATAGAAAAAACCCAGCCCACTGGTCTGGGGATAGGGAAGAAAGCTTGACTTCTACTAGGCTTGTGGATGGAAACGATCTCATGAAAGAAATCTCAAGCCTGAGCCAAAGGTGAATGATGGATCCCAATGTACGTTACACACTTAGTATAGGTACTATACTAAGAAATTAACCCAAAGACTGGCTAGAACTGGTTGAACTACAGTGTCCTAGCAGAAGCAAATGTAAACCCACTTGATAGGGTACCTTACAACCTAATGTTCAGTGGGTTACCCAGAAAACAATGGTCTCTGAAGATGAGCTGAAAAGCTAAAAATTACAAAGTGCATGAGGATAAGCAGCAGCATGAGAACTAGCACGTTCAAAAATGACAAAACTTACATCCTAAGAGTAGATGACAGAAAATTCTGAAAGAGACTTCTCAGAGATAAAAGGAGGAATAGAAGTCATAGGCTACGAGAAGAATGGTAGAGTATAAAACAATCAACAAGAAATATTGAAAAAAATATATATTTAGGGAAATCAAACAGTAAAAACATAGGTAAAGAATTAGCGATTTTCAAGGTAGAGCTAAGGAAATAATCCAGAATACAGCAGAGAAAGATATGTTAAACATTTTTTAAAAAATTGAGATGCAGATTGAGAAAATCCAAAATACAACTAATGGACTTTCAGAATCACAGATTTGAGTAAATGCAGTCAAAACATTCTTTACGGATAACAGAGAATTTTTTCAGAACTAAAGAAAGACAAAGCCTTCAGATTGAAGAGGCAGATGGAAGATCAGGTACACTGTTAATATGTAAAAAGCATAACTAATAATAATCCATCATAATCCCCAATCCCCATCTTCTAAAATGTCTGTAATTTGTTTTCTTAGCTGGCTATTGCTTTCAGATTCAAGATATAAGAACTAACTTTCTTTTGCTAAGTTAACTTAGTTACAGTAAAAACTGAGCATTGGGAAGGAAAATATTAGCATGATTGAATATACAGTAGGCCTCCCTTGTCTGCAGTTTCACTTTCCATGGTTTCAGTTACCTGTGGTCAACTGCAGTCCAAAAATAATAAGGTATTTTGAGAGACAGAGAGACTGACCACAGTCATATAACTTTTATTGCAGTATATTGTTATAATTGTTCTATTTTATTATTAGTTACTGTTTATCTCTTACTATGCCTAATTTATAAATTAAACTTCACCATGGGTATGTATGTACAGGAAAAAACATGGTATATGTAGGGTTTCGTACTATCTGCAATTTCAGGCATCCACTGGTCATCTTGGAACATATCCCCCTGAGATAAGTGGGGAGTACTGCACACATCAATCTTTTAGTTTGTCTAAAATTTTAATAGTTCAATACCTATTTCAATGTACTTTAGGAACATAATAATTATGACACCAAACCCACAATTTTGTGAAAACATTGCTTAGAACAAGGGAACAACAGGTGGTTCATAGCACTGGAGGCACACAAATGTGCAAAACTCATGAAAGTGGAAAAACAAACAGAATGCCCTTGAGGGAGTAAGAGAGCGGGTTGAGAACTCTACAAGAATGAGGGGCATAACACACAAGAGGTGCTTGGGGGAGAGGGAGGAGTTGCCAGGATTATGCAGAACTCTGACAGAGAGCAGGGAGGCCTGCCAAGAATAAACTTAAAAATTGTCCTGCATTAACGCAGATTCGATTGGCCCAAGGGCCAATCTCTTGCAGAAGAAGAGTGGATGGTGGCATTTGTCATTTGTTATGGGAGATTTAAGACACTCTGGAGAGGTTTCTCTACTCAAATTCACTGTATTTCTCCCCACCACTGCTCCCCAATTTTACTTTGTCATATTATCCAAACCTCTATCCATTTAAGCTTGTGTTAATAAACTCTGTTTAAATTGTAAATACTCTTGGGAGAGCTGTCAATCATTCACAATTTAGTAAGATCTGTATTTAGATTGCCTTCCTCCAAGCACTTAGGCTGAAATCAACCTCAATGCAGTAGTAGAATTTTAATAAGCAGAGGCAAGTAAAGGGAGGGAGTGCTGACGCTTTAGGAGAGAAAGAATGGAAAATGGGGTAAGTATGTGCTAAAATGGAGAAGGCTGCCAAAGATTTTCCAACTAGGTTTACTTCACAGTTTTATATAGTTGGCCCTGAGGGTTAATAAGGGAAACAGAACTCTGCTTACAGCAGACCATTAAAAGGTGTTCTTGTTGAACCCTCAGAGAAAGTGACGGTATTCCATTTTCTTTACAGTCTCCAGCAGCAAACAAAGCAGGAGACATGTGGCACTTACCTAGTTTGACCACAAAGTTGATAAATCTCTGGATACAAAACTAGAAAAGAACAAACATATCTATAGTTAGTATTATTGAACTGTGTAAACAATGTAAATAATGTAGAAGTCAAATTACAGAAACCCTAAAAAGTCTGCACACCTTCATTTACTAAAGGTCTGTCAGAGTGGAGAAAAATAGCCAAGTGAAGATGACTGGGATCCATCCAGACTAAGGTAAGATCTTTTCATACATGTAGGCTTTACAGAATGGGCCCGTGCAGAAAAGAAGCTTCAATGATGGAATTCTACAAGAGAGTAAAGATGGGAATCACACCCCTTATCCATCTGGCTTACATAGGTAAACTTATCAGTTAGTGCAGTGGTTTTTAAACTTGGGTACATATAGCTCTGGGGTACCTTCCAGGATGCCTAAGGAGCACGTGGCCAAGGCTAAGATTTATGGGAATCAATTTCTAGATCCTCAACTTCCATAAATGCTGTTTTCTAAAATTGATGAGCATAAGAATTGGCGTGAAATGGAGGTGCAGGTTGTTGTAATTTCACTCATGTAAATAGAACAGAGGGCACTTAAGTACATTAAAGTGAATGAGATCAATTTAGCCCTAACTTTTCGTCTGCTTCTTCACTTGACTAAAAGCTCTTTAAGAGCAGAAACCACCTTCACTGAAATTATGTACTGAGTAAATAAGACTCACTCACACGTGCCTTCTTAAGAAGAAACAGAGAATGTGATAAACTAAGTTCCTTACCAACATCGTTTTCAATGGGATGTTTTATTTAGAGTGGGACTAAGAGGGAAAAAAAGATGGAGACTGGATCAACCAGTAAGAGAAGCCATTGAATGGAAGGGTCAACATTATAGCTGCTTCAGTCTACTCTATCTGTGATTTCCCTGTTCTGCTCAGAACAGGTTAGAATTTTCAGAAATAACTTTTCTAGGAAACTGGGCAGGGTGGCGGGAACCATCAGTGCAAGGAGACGGCAGAGTATGCACAATTCATTCTTCTTACCCTTATCTAAACCAAAGTCTTGTCAATGTTTAGTTGATTTGGCATAGCTTCCTAGATCCCTACCTTGTTCCTGTTCTTAGTTTCAGCTGGTCTGAGGATAGACAAAGGCGAATATTACATATAGTATTTAAACTTTAAGGAAGAAGTAGATTTATGATGGCTCAACTTTGAGGCCTATGGGTAGGGAATAATTAACCACTCTGGATTCTGCTTCTTCATGTTCTCTCTGGGTTGGGGCTGCAGGTCACTCCCTTTAACCCCCAGCATGCTTTGTACTTCTGATCTGTAATCTCTGAATACCCTGATGGCAGCCTGTCCTGTTCAGAAAGATCCCACAGCCAAGCTTTATTAGGACCAACCACTTGCTTCAGTCACGTCTTTCCATTCCCACTTATTTTCTTGGGATACACCTCTCAACCACTTATACTATCCTGAAAATCCTCATGCCTCTCAGACCCCAAAAGTCTTGCTCTCATGTCTACCCTACTTTCTGCCACTTCATTCCATTTACACTTTAGAACCATGTGTTAGAACCAGATGTTAGCTGGGCATGGTGGTGCATGCCTGTAGTCCCAGCTACTCAGGAGGCTGAGGCAGGAAGACTGCTTGAGCCCAGGAGGATTCAAGGCTGCAGTGAGCTATGATCACATCACTGAGCTCCAACCTGGGCAAGAGAGCAAAACCCTATTTCTAAATAAAAAAGAACCAGTTGTTGAGACTGTTCTACCCTTCAACTGAGGCTCTTCTTTCCCTGGATGGCTAGGCTATCCTCCATGGAACATTCACAGCAGCCACTATGTCCTCTGGAGTCTTCCCAGCAACATATCAGCTTCTGCTGGTTTTTTCTTCCTGTTTCAAATCCTGTATCTACTTTGGATCACCCACTAGGCTCTTATTTCTTTCCTGGTGGATGTTTCTAGTTCTCAGCACATTTCCAGGGTGAACAAGACTGACCTGCCCTGACTTTGAATGAAGCCTTCCCCATTTTAGGTTACCATCTTCATAGCTTCCTCATATTCTGTGATAACTCTGGTGTGATGTCCTCAAGGGGACAGCCTGTGGTCATTTTCCCAGAAATCTATGGCCATTATATTATAGTCACAAAAGTACTTTGAAGATAGAGTAAAATAAGATCCTTTCTAGGAGGAAGAGAGGAGTCATCCCTGTATGGGTCCTGTCCTGATTAGACATGTCAGGAACACATAAAATGGGGACAGCTTTCTTTGGTTTTAGACAAGAAACAAAGTACAAAACAGAAGAAAGGTAAAGAAAGAGGCAGCTGGGCAATTTTAATGAGGGCAGGCATGGTAGAGAGAAGAAAAAGAATCCTCAAGTGGGGAAGAAAAAAGGCTGTGATTTATGGGAAGGGAAGAAAACGTTTACCTGATAGTTCAGGGCTAAAGAGAGGTCCTTTCGTTCAAAAGCCTCCAACATCTGGTTTGTCTTTTTTCCCAGGTAGTTATAGGTACTGGCAAGACAATAACAAATACTGCAGGTTCAATAACTCAACAGGAAAGGTCCAGATCTTCAAATCCCTCTGCTGCTTAAAAGGGAAAAAATACACCTAGTCCTCCTAAAGTCTGTTTTTGGGTCCTAATCTATTAGGGGATCAGACTGTCTTCAGTTCTGAGTTTTCCAGCAATACTAAGCAGTACTGCAGAGAAGGGATTGAGACAAAAGGGGATAAAGGAAGAAAAGCGGAAAAAAGATAAAGGAAAAAAAATGGAGGTGTATTTGCTAGCAAGCGACTGAGGCCAGCTCTTGCCCTAGGGTACACAGAGGTGCAATGCTAGACAAGAACTGTGGATAAAACGTAGCATCTGAGGTGAGTCCTAAAAGCCTTATGCTGAAACACTGGGTGGATGGAGCACCATGAAAACAGGGGCAAATCCTAACAAATTACTCATATTCCTTGCTAATGTGTATATTACTTAAAAACTAGTTTCTAGATAGTAATATTAATAATAATGATAATAAAATGAGGGATCATTTACTAAATGCCTATTATATTATAGGCTTGACATAAATCATGTCTAATCCTTGTAAAACCCTGCAAGGTAGGCCTGGTTTTTATTTTGATTAAAGAATGGCTTCAGAGTTTCCACGAAAACTTTCCATTGCTTCGTGTTGCCTTCTATAACAATTCAACAAAAATGAAGGTGAGAATAGTTATTTGATCTGACAAAATATTTTTGTGGACTTATAAAACTCTCCAACTCTACCTATAAATATCTTAAATAAATTGCTGAATTCTTAGAGAAACCGGCAAGGTAAAAGGTTATAGAAACTCATAATAAGGACATTTCCCCAAGTTCTTTAAATTCAAATGGCTTCTCCCATAGTAAGTCGGTATCAGGAAATGTATTTATCTTGATGTACCAATAACAGAAATGTTGTTGGACTTATATATATAGAACCGGGGTCAACAGCAAGGAATTCCAGGAATGTGAAGCTCAGGTTATCTTCTGGTAATACAGTAAGGAAGAACAATGTCTGAGGAGCTTCAGAATACTGAAATTTGAATCCCAGTGGTCTTAGGTTTATCCTTGGTTAGACAGAAAGGTGATTATAGCTAGGGAGAAATGAAGTTTAACCAAATGTACTTGCCTTATAGATTATGTTGACAGAATTAAAATGCTTTGTATAGAGGCCAAAAAGCAGGAGCCAAAAAAGTAAGAATTTCCAGGCGGAAAAAGGTTTAACGGTGATATGGTTTGGATCTGTGTCCCTGCCCAAATCTCAGGTTGAAATGTAATCCCCAGTGCTAGAGGTGGGGCCTGGTGGGAGGTGACTGGATCACAGGGGCAGTTTCTCATGGTTTAACATATCCCCCTTTGTGCCATTGTCGCGATAGTGAGTTCTCGTGAGATCCAGTTATTTAAAAGTGTGTGCCACCTCACTTCCTCCCTCCTGCTCTGGCCACGTAAGATGTGCCTTCTTAGCCTTCCGCCATGATTGAAAGTTTCCTTCAGAAACCAAGCACACGCTACCATGCTTCCTGCACAGCCTGCAGAACTGTGAGCCAATTAAACCTCTTTTCTTACACATTTCTCAGTTATTTCTTTATAGCAATGTGAGAATGAATTAACACATGTGGTCAGCAAATACAACATTCAAATTTCCTCAGTAGAAATAGCCCTGTAGTTACAATGGCTGTCATAGGCCATCTTGGCTTGGTGAACAAGCCATTTATATTATTCAACTCAGTCACTCTTCCTCACAGCCAGGCTCACCAAGACATGTTATAAATGTTATTTTGCTCCCCTGGTATCTTTCAGTTAATGCAAACATTTAATTCAATCTGCTTGGAAGCATATTCTAATGAATTAAGTTAACATGTGCAGTGGACATGCTAATTGAATTGCCTGTCTTTTGCTAAGTAGGCATTGGGCCACACGATTCTGGTTGGACCTGACACGGACACTTGCCTAGGCAGTGCTATCTAATGATGTCCCAAAATGCCACGCTTGGGCAGCCATGATTGGCCATGTGCATGCTGAAGCAGAGAAAGCCCATTTGGATACAGAGAGAGAGAAGAGAAATAAAGAGATGTGCAGAAAGATGTAGCGGTGAGTCTCTCCAAAAAACCACATATGGAAGGTAATCTGCCTTGGCGGTTGAGATTCTGCAGTTCTTGGCTTTCATCTTCTCTGAGGCCTGGTTTTACATCCTCCTCTTGGGCTCTATGTGGTTTCCCAGAATTTTATAATAACGTGTCTTCTTGTACATAAGGTAGTTTAAATGGGTTTCTGTTACTTGCAACCAAATAATTTCTGACAAAGATAGAACTCACAAAGTGTGAGTCCATCCTTGAGACCCTGGTCACCAGGGTCTATAGCACTAAGCGTCAGTTCCCGCTAAGGTCTAGGCCCTGTGCATGTGCTCAATTCATGTGCTCATGTGTCTCACCTCTAACTGCAACAGATGCTTCTAAACAATGACTGAATTTCTTTTTTATCCTTTTTCTTTTTTTTGAGATGGAGTCTTGCTCTGTCACCCAGGCTGGAGTGCAGTGGCTCGATCTCAGCTCACTGCAACCTCTGTCTCCTGGGTTCAAGTGATTCTCATGCCTCAGCTCCCAAGTAGCTGGGATCACAGGTGCCTGCCACCACGTCTGGCTTCTTTTTTTTTTTTTTTTTTTAAGACAGAGTTTCACTCTTGTTGCCCAGGCTAGAGTGCAGTGGTGCGATCTCGGCTCACTGCAACCTCCGGCTTCCAGTTTCAAGCAATTCTCCCGCCTCAGTCTCCCAAGTAGCTGGGATTACTGGCAGCTAATTTTTGTATTTTTACTAGAGACAGGGTTTCACCAGGCTGGTCTCAAACTGATGACCTCGTGATCCACCTGCCTCAGCCTCCCAAAGTGTTGGGATTACAGGCATGAGTCACTGCATCCGGCCCATTTTAAAAAATTTTTAGTAGAGAGGGGGTTTCACCATGTTGCCCAGGCTGGTTTCAAACTCCTGACCTCAAGTGATCCGCCTACCTTGGCCTCCCAAAGTGCTGGGATTACAGGCGTGAGCCACCATGCCCAGCCCAATGACTGAATTTCTAACAAACAACTAAGCACTATTTAATTCCCTTTCACTGGAAGAATGTGGAAAAGAAAGGAAACTTCTATTAGAAAGGATACACATGTAAGAAATACAGCTACTTGGGCCGGGTGTGGTGGCTCATGCCTGTAATCCCAGCACTTTGGGAGGCCGAGGTGGGCGGATCACGAGGTCAGGAGATCGAGACCATCCTGGCTAACGCGGTGAAACCCTGTCTCTACTAAAAAAATACAAAAAATTAGCCAGGCATGGTGGTGGGCACCTGTAGTCCCAGCAACTGGGGAGGCTGAGGCAGAAGAATGGCATGAACTCGGGAGGTGGAGCTTGCAGTGAGCCGAGATCGCACCACTGCACTCCAGCCTGAGCAGCAGAGCAAGATTCTGTCTCAACAACAACAACAACAAAAAAAGAAATATAGGTACTTTGGTGATGAATTCCTTTATGGGGGACTTTATAATCATTGGGAAAAATGAGTCATGCTTACCTGCCCACTGCTCCAGTTGCTCCCATCACCAGAGCACTCAGCAGTTGCTAATCAGAAACAAAGAATATTCACTTTTATAAAAAAGAGAAAGAAAAGAGATGCTACTATATAAATATCTACACAAATTGTTTTGGAGGGAACTGACCTGCTGCAACATGCTAGGGGGTGACTTACCTCATCCACCCCAAAAAGGAAAGCAAATTGTTGCTGGCGATTCTGATCAACACATTGCCCGAAGTCTAAGAGATCTGTATCACTGAATTTCAGCCCTTGGAAGGTGGGGATCTTATCCTGAATCCCATCCAACAACTCCTCAGCACGAACTGCTCAAAATAATAAGCACCTCATCAATCTGCACATCTCCAGGAAATAACATCTCATATAGTGCCACGCATCTGCAGTGAGCTGCCACAAGCTGCTGTCAGCCAGAACTGACTGCAGACTAGGCCTAATCACTTCTCCCTGACTAGCAGCTCCTATGTACTTGTCCAATTATAATCCTAAACTTCCCATTCCTTGAAGGCAGTAGATGGATATTTGTGAAGTGTAAATATATATTTGGTCTTAGTCCCTGGTTCCTGAGACAAAGTACCTAAAACCCTTGTAGACAGGGGTGCTAGGAGAGTATTTTATTCTAACACTTGGTCTTTGACCCTTATTCCTGACACAGAGCTCCCAAGACCTTTGTAATTTCCTGAGAGATAGGAGCATCTGACACAAATCTCCTAAACCCCTTGGAATCTCCAAAGTGATATGTATATTTCTGTATGCTACAAAGTTTACTGATGACTAGATCTCCTAGATAGCCTCAGGATGAGGGCTGGTTGCCAGGGGAACCAACCATGTACTTAAGAGGGTTGGAACTTTCAGTCACACGCTTGGCCTCTGGGGAGGAGAGCGGGGCTAAAGATTGAGTCGATCACCCATGGCCAATGATGTACTCAATCATGCCTACATAATGAAGCCCCCATAAAAACTCAAAAGGACAGGGACTCTGTGTTGCTGAACACATGAAGGTGCCTGGAGGATGGCTTGTTCAGAGAGGGCATGAAACTCCATGCCCCTTCACACATATCTTACCCTATGCATCTCTTCTTCTGGTTGTTTATCTGTTTCCTTTGTAATAAATGGGCAATAGTAAGTAAAGTGTTTCTTTGAGTTCTGCAAACTGCTATAGCACATTAATTGAACCCAAGGAGGAGGTAACTGGAACCCTGATTTATAGCCAGCTGGTAGGAAGTACAGGCCACAACCTGGGACTTGAGACTGGCATTGAAGTGGGGGCAGTCCTGTGGGACTAAGCCCTTAACCTGTGGGATTCAATGCTAACTCCAGTAGCCAGTGTCAGAACTGAATCCAATTAGAGGACACCCACTCCATCTCTGATGAAGAATTGGTTGTTGGTGGGGAGAAATGCCCACACACATTTTGGTGGCCAGAGGTAAAATGTTTTGTGTTGAGTGCTAAGTATGAGAGTAGAGAATAGGAAAAGCAGTTTTTTTTCTTTTTTTTCCCTTCAGAATGTTTATAAAGTACAGCCTCCATTTTTCCTCTAATGGAATTTAGAAAAGAGTGGGATTTTAAAAATAATCTAAGAAATTTCAGCTAATTGTAAAACTCTTCTTTCTGGAGAAATACAGTAATAACAAAAGAAAAGCTAGAAGAGAAGTCAGAAGAGATCAGAGGACTTTCCTATGTGCTATAGGCACTAAGAATACAATAGGTTCAAGGTAGACACACTCCTCTCCTAGTGAGGCTTACAGACTCACGTCTTCTCAATAAGAAGAAGGGGTGTGTGTGGTAAAGACAAAAGGTATGTGCTACAAGTGCCCAGAGATCAGATTTCCTTTCATACCTAACAACTTCCATTATACAGCAGTGTGAATGATTGATAAGGGCTGGGACTTCAGAGGGACATTTAGAAGCAACTGGAACTGCCCAGTCAGTGGTGGTGTGCTTTTGTGGCATGGGGTAGGGTGGGATGGAGTGGAGTTTCTTAGCATAATAGGGTAAAATGTGAGAGTTGGAAGGAAAGAAATATCAAAAGAAGCAGTACTTACTCTTTACCCCTGTCAAGGCAGGAATGTGATAGTAATAAAATGGCAGGGCAGGGGCGGCAGCAGCCACTTCCTTTAGGAAATTAATCAGGATATCTGAAAGAACAGCAGGAACAGTCATAGTGAGAACAGGTGTAAAACAGTGGCTTTCCCTGGTGAAAAAAAAAAATCATCTGATGAAACACAACCATGTTTCTCAGAAGCCTCAAATTCTCAACCACTCTTACCATCCCTGCTACTGCTACTGCAATGTTTTTGCAACTCACTTCATTCAAGTTTTATTTTCCTTCTGTAGAAAGCTCAAAATAAGATGATTATTCTCCTACCATACTAAACTCTATTACAAAATTGATGAAAACCTTCCCATATATTAAGAGATGATGATGAAAAACATAAGTCCATCACATGAGACTCTTGTCTTCTTACCCCAAAAAGGCTAAGTGTGGACAGTAAACAACAGAGACTACTATAGGACAATAATAAGATTTTAATTGAGAAAACCCTGTAACAAAAAGATAAACAATATCTGCTTCAAGAGGGAAGTTATAGGAGTAGTGGCACATTTTGCAAGAATAGTGGCACATTTTGCAAGAATTCCAGCAAAATTTGGTACTTTTCCCTTTGGGGAGAAATCCAGATACATCAAAAGAGAGCACACTCTGGTTTGCTGAGGAAGTGGCATTTCCTGCATCATCTCATGTGAGCTTTGCCTGCAACGCTACTGCAGATGATAAGTCCAGCAGCACTCCTCATGCTTTGGATGCCACTGGGTAACAGGAGAATTTTATATAGGTCATCTGAATACTGTTATGATGTGTATTCAGTCTATGATAATATTTCTGACAAATTATTATGTATACATTATTTTTCCTTTTAGGAAATATATTCATGTAAAAATTTGTAAAGCCATGTGAAAAAATTTTTAAATGTTGGGCTGGACACAGTGGCTCATGCCTGTAATCCCAGCACTTTGGGAGGCTGAGGCAGGAGGATCAAGGCCAAGAATTCAAGATCATCTTAGGCAACATACCAACATCTCGTCCCTACAAAAATTATTTTAAAAATTAGCTTGGCATGGTGGTACGTGCCTGTAAGTTCCAGCTACTTGGGAGGCCAATGGAGGAGGGTTGCTTGAGCCCAGGAATTCGAGGCTGCAGTGAGCTATGATCATGCCACTGTACTCCAGCCTGGGCAATAGAGCAAGACCTCATCTCTAAAGAACAATTTAAAAAATTTTAAAAACTTTAAAAATGTTCATTTTAAACTAGCAATTTATAAATATTAAATTGCTTACTTACATGAATTATTTTCTATGTATCAATAATAGGTGATATTTCATGACGATTTAGACCTATTATACATTTAATTATGGATTTATTTAATCATGTAGGCGAATAGTGTCTGTTTTTATCCTTCTAAAATTTATACTTCTTTTTTTGCTAATCAAAAAGGATTAAAAAGACTTGGTATACTTAGACACCATAAATAGTTTCCACAGAGAAGACAGTAGAGAAAGAGAAAGCAATACTTTTGTATTTTGGAAGGCAATGAATATTTCTGTGAAATCTCTTAAAATTCATCATTCACTCGACCTTGAATAGGATGTGTAGTCTCAAAATGCCCATCACTTATATTCTTCTAAGAAAAATGGTCCCATGCTTTGCCATGTGACTGACACCCTATACAACTCACTGGTCCAGGAGCAGACACTTGACCCAAACATAGGCATCTACCCATCAACAGAGGCTCAGCAGATTACCCAATCAGATCGATTACTGGGCAAAAGAACTGAAGTACTTTAATGCAGTCCCTTTTATGGATCCAGGGAGAGCAAATATTTCAGAGAACCACTGTACCTTTGCAACTTTAAGCCTCCAATATATAGTGCTTTACTCTCACAAACTAAATATAACCATTTTGAATGGAGGCAAGAAGTGGACCATGTGAGGTGCCATGCATTCAGGCCTATCTACTTACCTTTGGTCCATGGCTTGAGGAAGAACGGTGCAATGACAGCGATGCCATCAGCTCCTATTTCTGCTGCATGTTGGGCCTTTAAAGGAAGAAAGAAGACCATATTGGAACAAGTGATTTACTACAGTCATCTATAGCTTAGATACTAAGATCAGTAACAAGCTCTTCAAATTTGCCAACTGATGTACCACTGGAGAGTGGGAAAATTAACCTAATTTAATGAATGTCATTGCCAGGAAAATCACAGGTCGCAAAGTAGAGCTCCTTGATGACGGTGAGCTGTGCACTTAATCTTATACTTCATATTTTGTCAGCACAAAAAACCTTGCTAAGGAGACATAAGTAGGTCATTTTGATAAGTTGTAACTGTTACTCGAGATATCTGCTGATGTAATTTCTCTTCTGTTTAGCCCATTGCTGATACTGTCTTTTCTGTCCAATGACGTGACAGTCATATTTAAAAATTTATATTAGATTGGGAATGCAGTTGAGACATGCTGAAAAGGAAAAGATTATATATATCACAGAAGATACTTTGCCCCATATTTCTGATATTTTCTCAAATTCCTCCAGAAAAAAGTAACATTTCCTCTTGCTGGACCCTTATAACACTATGTATCTATTTCAAGTAAAATACCTAAACCTACCAGGTTGTAAGGCAGTTGTGTATGGTGACTGTCCTCCAACTAGAGTGTAAGTCCCTCAGGGCAGGGCTCAGATCTTGCTTACCCTTGAGTCCAGGTCAATCATGGTGCCTGGCACATAGCAAGGAACCAGCAGACGCTTGTTGATTGTTTCGGAACATGCCCTACTCTCTAAAAAGGGAAAAGGGCTTCCTTCTGAGACTTTGACTTGTAATATCTATATCTAATAGACGTGATTATCTTTCTGCAGAAGTAAACTAGAATAGTTAAAAGGAGAAGACTGGGATATAGCCAAATTAAGGCACTGAGAATAATTTCATTAACACAGGATCAGAATGTGATATATTTAAATCATTTGATTAGTACTCTGTTTAGAAAAAGAGCAGAAGAGTAACCTTAGCTGAAAGCAAGGAAAGAGGAAACACCTAAGAGAGTTGATGGCAGTGTCCATTCAAGCATCATCCAATAAAGAGTTATGGCTAAGAAGATGCCAATGTTACTGTCTCTTTGGCAAGACTACCCCTGTACCAGCAGATTATCCCTATTCCAGAGGATTATTAATTCCAAAATTACTTCTATACTATTTGGGTGTTCAGCCCAATGGATGATACTGTCATTCATATCATTACATGATAATATTTTAAAATTTGTATTATACATTGGAAAAGAAGCAATTGAAAAGAGAGAAAAAAAGAAAAATATACCCTACACCATACTGCCTTAGTTGAAAAACCTTTTGTAAGAGAAACAAATCAAATGTAAGAGGAATAATTCAAGTCTCTAAATTCTGATTCCACACTTATTATGGCTAATGATAGATCTTCCTTTGCATCTTGCCTAAAGCACTAAATTGCAATTTTTTGCAAATATATTATACATCCCATTTTTAAATCCAAATAGCCAAAACAAGCAAAACCCATTAAGAAGAAGCTGGGCCAGAAAAAGTCATATATCTAAGTTCTGGAAACTTGGTCAATTTGTAGCAGTCCAGGTACAGGGCCTTCTGATAAACAATTTTGAACATCTTTGTGTTTTTTTTTTTTTTTTTTTTTTTTTTTTTTGAGATGGAGTCTTGCTCTGTTGCCCAGACTGGAGTACAGTGGCACGATCTCAGCTCACTGCAACCTCCGCCTCCTGGGTTCAAGCAATTCTCCTGCCTCAGCCTCCTGAGTAGCTGGGATTATAGGTGCCCACCACCATGCCCGGCTACTTTTTGTATTTTTAGTAGAGACAAGGTTTCACCATGTTGGTCAGGCTGGTCTCAAACTCCTGACCTCGTGATCCGCCTGCCTCGGCCTCCCAAAGTGTGTGCCTTCTTTTCTTAACCAATTCACCCAGGCCTCAGAATCACCATACCACCTGCTTTTCTGCCAGGAAATTTAACCCCTTCCTGTCTTGCTTCTGCTCCACCTAACCTGCTAATCCCTAAAGCTGGAGCAATCCAATTGTCTGTGTTCTTGTTCCTATATTCTGGCTAAAGAGTGTACCCAGAAAAAAAAATTCCACAACTGTGCTGAAGGGTGGTATGACAAATTTATAACTTACAACTTAAGTTGGTCTTCAGTACCACCAAGCAATCCTTTTGTGTTTTAGCCCCCTCCCCCTTTCTCCAATGCAGAATTCACACTTGCCATTCTTCAAGTCTTTATACTTTGTCCATCTGTGCCCTGCAGATAGCACTGCCTTCTACTTCACAGAGAAAATTGAAATTGGCTCAGTTCTGCTCCTTGCCTGCAAACTCAGCTACAGCTGCATCCATCCTTACTCTCCTTGGAGGAAGGTGCCTCCATCTCCTATTCTATAGTCATCATCACCTAGAGCTACAATCCTTTCTTCATGGCTCAATGCCTGCTTCTAGGCAGTGAGCCCCTGAGATCCCACACCTTATCTTTTCAGGCACACCATCCACGACATAGCAAATATAGTACTGATTTTAACTGCAGCATAAAAATTGAGGCCCCATGAGTGGTCTCTCCCAGATGGAGCTGCATACATACCAGTTCCTGTGACTCCTTCAAGCTCAGTGCTCCTACGTGAATTACCACCTGATCCAGCCTGCAAAAGAAAAAAACACTGCTGCACCGCTTAGAGTTTAGAGGCATGCAGAAGGGCTGCACTATCCTGGTTTGTGCTGGTTTTAGCAGTTAACTGACACCTTATTAATCTCACTTATTAAGTTCTATAGCAATATATTTAATCTACCTAAAAGGACTTATGGTGATCTTTTTAACATAGGTCATTGATATCAAAGTCTTGTCATGTTACTGAGAGGTTGGTTGTGATTTGACCGTGTCTAGGATGATTCTGATTTCATAGCAGGTCCCAGAGGAGGTATTTAAAGGCAAGGTTAAAAGGGTATTCCATTTCTTCCTTTCTGTAGGAATACAGCCATTTCTGCAATGACTTCATTTCGAGCCAGTGGGAAGGTGGTATGTTCATTCAGTATCACGGAGGTTTCATATCACTAACAGCAGAAATATATGCTGAAAACTGTTAAACGTGTACATAAATGGGATTCATCTCTCATTAAGTTAGAGGCAGAGGATCACAGAGATAATTTAGTCCATGCCCATTATCTTAAATTGGAGTCTGTAGAAATTAATCTTATATACATGCTTACATAAAACATTTCTAAGTTGTGATAAAAGACACAAAATTTAAAAATCAATTCTAGGTTGGGTGCAGTGTCTCATACTTATAATCCCAGCACTTTGGGAGGCTGAGGTGGGTGGACTACTCGAGCTCAGGAGTTCAAGACCAGCCTGGGCAACATGGCAAAACCCCATCTCTACCCGAAATACAAAAAATTAGCCAAGTGTGGTGGTGTGTGCCTGTAGTCCTGGCTACTTGGGGGCTGAAGTGGGAGAATCACTTGAGCCCAGGAGGTGGAGGCTGCAGTAAGCCAAGATCATGCCACTGCACCCCAGGGTGGGCAACAGAGCAAGACCATGTCTCAAAAAATAATTAAAAATAAAAATAAAATAAATAACAAATAAATTCTAATGGAAGTAAATGATCTAGTTTAATCATGTTTAGAATCACTTTATGTGTTAGATATTACATATGATTTTTATACGTAAATGATATTGCATATATTCATATAAAAGTGCTTTGCATATATCTGGCATTGGCTAATATTTGTTGACTTAGATCAAATGTAAATTTAAAAAAATCAAGATGCCAATGGTGAATCAAGCACTAGGGAAGAAATCTAATTGGGAGGTGGTGCAACATAGCTGTTAAGAACTTATATCCCAGAGTTAGAGTCTTGAGCTTGAATCCTGACTGTTACGAACCAGCTGTGAACTCCTCAGAAAGGCACTTAACACCTTTACACTTCAATTCCTGTAATAATTCAGATAATAACATTACCTGTCTCACAGGGCTATTGTAAGGATTATGTGAGTTCATGCAAGTAAAACACAGCATGGTACATGACATAGTAAATGCTTTATAAATATTAGGGCAGTTATTACTGTTAAGCCTTAAGAATAGAGACTTAAAGAAAAAAAACAAGTTTGGGAGAACAAAAAAGAAAAAAAAAAGAATAGAGCCTTTTAATGCTGCAAAAATATAGAAAACAGTAAAGAATCATTAGGGATTTTAAAAAATGTTCAGGGAATAGAATTTAAGGTTCAACCAAACAGAACTTGAAAAGCAATAACTGATTAAACAACACATGAGTACTTATTTTGGTTAAGCATTGTTTTAGATGCTGTATTTGGTGGTATACGTGCATGAAGATAGGTATGATACTGAGATATTTTTGGTTGGAGATAAAAATAAAGAGTTTCCTCAAAGAATACAACCAGGAACTAGTCCTGTGAAAAGTGAATTCACTATAAAAAGCAATTTCCTACTTTGCAAATCTCCTCAGAATTTGGCCAAAAGGGGATATTTGCTCTGACACCCTGATGTTCATTTTTGGGGGTACTCCATGTTCCCAACTGGGCAGAGGCCACAGTGAGAATGGTCTTCTCAAAGTGGGATTAATAATGTTCAGCTGTGAATGCAGTCATCCCAGTGAGTCTTCTGAAGGACCTTGAATAAACACATGCCCTCATGAGACAGAGACACCACATTCCTGTTTAGGCCCAATCACCGAGTCCTCCAGGAGTTCTTGGCTAGCTATGTCTTAGGTAAAACAGTACCTAGCTGGGAAGTGACATGATCAGCTTTGTATTTTTAAAGGATAACAGAAGACTGCTGAATGGAAAAAGGAGGGCTGACTGACCTGTTGAACTCTCACCAGCAGTTTTATTGTAAGATCGCTTCCTTCACTACCCCTTTCTCTTGGCTTAGGTGAAGCCAATCATCCATTCGCTCTTCCTCGTTCTCCTGGGCTGCTAGGCACAGCTACCACTGTTGGAAATTTAAAATACAAATTTCCTAGTAATCTCTCAATCCAGGAGGAGGTTCCAACAAGCCTTCTGGCTGTCATGACTCATTTATCTGGAGTGGCTACTCCAAATCTTGACTATTCCTGTCAAGCTCTAAATTCTACCCAACTCCTTGTTCTGAGCAGATGTCCTAGAGTCCCAGACACCAAAGATGAAGCTTTTACAAACTCCCTTACCCTTCCTCCTCTTCACCTGTGCACGGGGCTACATCACCATTTGCTTTCCTCCTAGCTGCTGCTGCTTTTTTTTTTAGACGTCGGCCCGCTCTGTCGCCCAGGCTAGAGTGCAGTGGTGCGACCTCAGCTCACTGCAACCTCCACCTCTAGGGTACAAGCAATTCTCCTGCCTCAGCCTCCTGATTAGTTGGGATTACAGGTGCCTGCCACCACGCCCAGCTAATTTTTGTATTTTTAGTAGAGACGGGGTTTCGCCATGTTGGCCAGGTTGGTCTCAATCTCCTGACCTCAGGTGATCTGCCTACCTCAGCCTCACAAAGTGCTGAGATTACAGATATGAGCCACTGTGCCAGGCCTTCAGCTGTCTTCTAAAGCTACTCTGTCTACTTTGGGTTGTGTGGATGGTCCCCAGCTTATGACGGTTTGACCTTACGATGGTGTGAAAGTATCATTACACTCCCTGACTTATGACAGGGTTATGTCTTTAAAACTCAATGTAAATTGTAAGTTGAATCAATTTCTGATCAATTCATCAGGACGTAATCCTATCACCAGTGAAGGAGCATCTGCATTTCAAATCCCTAGCCAAAACCCCCTATCCAAGACCTTCCATCAAAGGTATCAATTCACCACTTTTTTTTTTTAAAGAAGGGTTTTGCTCTGTCACCCAGGCTGGAGTGCAGTAGTGTGATTTCGGCTCACAGCGACCTCTGTCCCCCCGGGGCTCAAGTGATCCTCCTGCCTCAGCCTCCCAAGTGGCTGGGACCACAGGGGCATACCACTATGCCTGGCTAATTATTTTTTTTATTTTTTGTAGAGACAGGGTCTCCATATGTTGCCCAGGCTGGTCCTGATCTCCTGGGCTTAAGCAATCCGTCTGCCTTGGTCTCCCAAAGTGCTGGGATTACAGGTATAAGCCACTGTACCCAGCCAAGGTTTACCGGTCTTTTCTGTATCTTTAATCTCTTCTCCCATGGCAGTGTCCTTTCAGCATAGAAACACGCTCAACATTTTTCCACTTAACAAAACTATGCTTCTTTCAATGTTGCCTATTCCTTCCTTCCTAATGTACAACTCCATCTCTCCTTCCCTTTGCCAGAAAACTGTTTGTGAGGATCAGCTGCACTCACTGCCCCCACTTGCAGATATCTGTTGCATTCTGTAACTTACTGCAGTCTGGCTTCTCTGCAATAACCTGACTGGCCCTGCTCTTTCAGAGGTCATCAGTGACTTCCTATGATGTGTCAAACCTAGTGGTCTTCTCAGTCTTTCCTGTGCTGACTTTCATGGCGTCTAATAGTTATTATAACAAATGTTATAATGAACATAGCATCTACTGCAAATAGTTACAATGAATTCTTACATTAGTGTGAATGTGTTTAGTGAACTGTGCCTGCCAGGCATTGTTCTAATCCTCACTACAACCTCATAAGTGAGGTACTATTATTACTCCTATCTTAGGGATGAAGCAGACAGAAGTTAGGTGATATGCCTGAGTTCCCAGCGCTAATAAAAAGCAGAGCTGGGCCTCAAACTCAGGCAGTTGGGCTCTATGGCCCCTGCTCCACTGACAGTCTCTGAAATCATTCTTCTTCCTGGTTGCAGTGACAGGACTCACTCCTGACTGGCCTCCTACCTTCTGAGGGCTTTCTGTCTCTGCCTACCTTCCCTGTCCCTCATTTTTGGTACTGTTCTTAATATGTGCCCTTAGCCCTCCTGTTTTCATACTCTGCCCACTGTCCTTAATCTTTTTGGACCCTAGATCTGACAAAATTAACTGAAAGCTGATGGCTCACCAGAAAATGGTTCCGTGGATATGCACTCAAATTTGGCACATAATTTCAGGTACTGGAGGTGCCCTGAAGCCATTAAGAATTCCCAGGGACACTATGGGCTTCATACTGACCACCTCTGCTCACTTGGAACTTACCTCTAATCTTTTACTTCCACCTAAGACAACATCAATCACTCCCTTTTTGTTTATACATTCATCAGAAGGGTTGGGGTGTTAGTTTTCATGATCTAACATCCCTACCAGATGGTCAGCAACCTGAAGGCAGAGCCCTTACTTTATACTGCTGGTGCCTAGCACAGTACATAACATATAACAACATAACAGAAAATCAATAAAACTTAGTTGGCCAGGCACGGTGGCTCACGCCTGTAATCCTAGCACTTTGGGAGGCTGAGGGGGTAGATCACGAGGTCAGGAGATAGAGACCATCCTGGCTAACACAGTGAAATCCCATTTCTACTAAAAATACAAAAAAATTAGCCAGGCACGGTGGCATGTGCCTATAGTCCCAAGTACTCAGGAGGCTGAGGCAGGAGAATTGCTTGAAGCCAGGAGGTAGAGGTTGCGGTGAGCCAAGATTGCACCACTGCACTCCAGCCTGGGTAACAGAGTGAGCTCCATCTCAAAAAAACAAACTTAGTTAACTGGAAGTGCTTTTGGAACTGATACTATCCTGTTTGTTCAACCATGGCATGAATTGGGTGTTACAAAAATATATCACTGCACGGAAGTTTATGGACTACAGAAAGTCCTCCAAGAGCACAAGAAGCAGCACCATAAAAGAGCATGTTGAGTCGGATGCATACAGACCTATAAGGAGAAGTGGGCCAATACAAGCATCAGGCACTCATCCCGAGAAGGGAAGGGGTGTGAGTTGCTCAGTGGAAGAGCCAGGTGACCAGCAGAGTCCATTACCACCCTCCCCTCTTATCCTTCAGCCCAAGGACGGGTAACTGTGAGGGGATTGGCCCCGTAGACAGGTAAGCAGTTTCCCAACAGAACCTCTGGATGGCAGGTGTGTCTAGCACTCTGGCTGCCCTTCTGCACACAAAGGGAGGGGTCTCTTCTCCAAGAAGCCAGGATCCCTGGGGTCCTGCTCATCTTCCCACCAGCTGACCTCAAGCCCCAGCTCTGACCAGAAAGCAGGGAGGGCGTATCCTCTGGGGAAGAGGCTCACTTAATACAGCTGTGGCCAAAGGGCATTTTTATCCTCATGCAGCCACTTACTTGTCCTTCCCTTTTGTCACCCACTCCTCTGCGACCTGGCGACGCTCTGAGATGCTCAGGGACAGGCCTTCTCCCGTTGTACCATTCACTGTTCAAACAAAGAGTAAGTCAGTGGGACGACGGAGCACCTCTGCTCCTCCAACCCCAAGTCCGAAAGTGCAGGGTCAAAAACCGCTGCACTGAGGATGGTCAGGAGGGGAAAATGCCATGTTTCCATTTTCACTTCAGGCTCCATCTTTTTTCCACTTTCACCTTGTCAAAGGCAGTGGGAAGGTTAATTGTGACTTGTAATTATAAATCTGACCTTGATATTAGGGACAGTCAGCAAATACTTTAAATAAAGACAGAGATGACTGCCCACATTTTATGGCAATCTCTAAACACACTACCCAGTTTTATATCTGGGCTTGAATGGCAGAGAAATCAACACCATCCAGTACCAGAATGTCAAATAAGTGGGAGTTACTCATGCGGGTACTTTTGTGTACTACAGATCTCAAACTATCTCCATTTATAGTTTGACATGACGGTAGTGCTCTAGGACAACTCGTTTTTTAAGTATTTTATAAAAAAGCACAAAGGATATTAATATTTCTTATACCAAGTGCTCTTACATATCCACTTACTCTAACAACCCAGCAAAGTAGAAATTATTTTTCTCATTTACAGATGAAAAGATAAAGTCTGAAACAGTAAATAATTTGTTTGAATCCAGAGTTGTGTGATTCCAAAACTCATCCTCTTTCCTCTTTTCCTTCTACTACAATCATTTCTTATTTTATTTTTTTGAGACAGAGTTTTGCTCTTGTCACCCAGGCTGGAGTACAGTGGCGTGATCTTGGCTGACTGCAACCTCTGCCTCCCAGGTTCAAGTGGTTCTCCTGCCTCAGCCTCCTGAGTAGCTGGGATTACAGGCATCCACCACCATGCCCAGCTAGTTTTTTGTATTTTTAGTAGAGATGGGGTTTTGCCATGTTGGGCAGGCTGGTCTTGAACTCCGGACCACAGGTGATCCGCCCGCCTCGGTCTCCCAAAGTGCTGGGACTACTGGCGTGAGCCACTGCGCCCAGCCTACTGCAGTCATTTCTTAATGGATCACAGAAAGATGCCTATGGCAGTAGGATACATTACTGAGGTCTCATGCATATGGTGGCACTCTGAATCTCTAAGCACTCAGCACTGGGCTGGAAGAGGAGAGGTTCGGGAGGCAGGGGAGGGGAGATGGAAAGTATTTTTAACCACTCCTTTGGGGTCTTGACTTCAAGTGTGCTCTGGTCATAGGGATGTTCCTGCTTTTTCCTCATACCCAGGGGAGATCTGTTGCCCTTTGTGGAGTAAGAATCTGCCTTCTCCACTATGACTTAGTGCTGTAGAGGGACATTGAGTGGTTTTGTAATCAGGTCTCGGTTTTGACATGTGGCCCAGGACACTTTTTCACACAAGTTTTAATCTGCTCTGATTATTATTACCAGGTACCTCTAGCTCTGGAGGGGCTCCTGTTGGTAGAGCAATAGGTCAGGGCCAACGTGTAGTCTTCTCAAAATAAAAATGCATTCAAGGGTCCAAAAGCCCAGAACACCATGCAAGGGACAGCTCAATCGCAGGTAAATATAGTTGTCAGGCTTAAAATGTTCAAGATCTAATTTTTTTAAACTTTCACTTTCTATGAAACAAAAGGAGATAACTGCTAGTCCTGTGATTTCTTTGTGTGCTACCTTTACAGTATTCCTTCCATTCACAATTTGAAAGGCCAGGGGAAGACAGAATAAAGCCCATTCTTAAGAGAGAGAAGAGGCTGGGCGCAGTGGCTCACGCCTGTAATCCCAGCACTTTGGGAGGCCAAGGCAGGCGGATCACCTGAGGTCAGGAGTTTGAGACCAGCCTGGCCAACATGGTGAAACCCTGTCTCTACTAAAAATACAAAAATTAGCCAGGTGAGGTGGTGTGCACCTATAGTCCGGCTACTCAGGAGGCTGAGGCAGGAGAATCGCTTGAACCTGGGAGGCGGAAATTGCAGTGAGCTGAGATCGCACCACTGCATTCCAGCCTTGGGGGGAGACAGAGCAAGACTCCATCTCAAAAATAAATAAATAAATAAAAGAGAAAAGAGGGTTTATTTGTTACTTAAGAAGGTTTAGTTATTATTCTACCACTTCTTGGCTGAAAGGCCTGGGGCAACTTAGAGTATATCTGAGTCACATATTTTCATCTCTAAATGGGGATAAAAAGTAATACCTTAAGTGTTGGCACACTATCAAATAGGTAATCTCTTGAGGTGCTTTGTAGGTCTAACATTGGTGGGTCTACAAATTCACAGATTTTAGTTAGCTTAACCAGGCTCCATCATAACTCGTGACACCATGACTCTATGACCTCTTGGCTGGTAACCAGGTGAGATATACCTTCTAAAGACTGAGCTGGAGACATGCAGAAACATCCCCAAAGTTGACTTACCAAAAATGTTCTTCACTCCCTGTTCTTTTACAAGATAATCCACATACTGACCAATTACTGAAAAGTTGATTTCTCTAGAAGACATGGGAAAAATGGGAAAAAATGGCATATTTAGTCTTTTTCAGATTATTATTCAACAAATCCTCAGGTATATAAACTGCTCCCTCTTGCTAATAGTTATTAAAAATCCACTTCATTTGTGAAATTCTTAGCCTGCTGTAAATAATGCCTGGGTTTTTTTCCCCCCTGAATCTGGCGATTTCTCCACTCAGCCAGGTATGCCTCACTTTTATGAGCAAAACACTATTAGTTATCAACACAGGCTTTATACTTACACCTCATCACAAGCAGTATTTAAAAAGTAGTTATGGAACTCTCTTTTGCCCAGCGCTCTCTCTTTAAAGCCCATACGGCCAGCGCTTTTGCCCTTTTAGGGGAAGAATGATGGTTGGAGACCTAGTTAAATGAGAACTTAACATCTGCCATTTGACTCCAAGTGCTGGGATTACAGGTAGGAGCCATCATGCCTGGCCTGTCCCTTTTTGTGTTTTCCCACCCTACTCTTAGGTTACTTAGGTCTATCTTCATCACTGGAGGCCATTATCCATGATCAATTATTAGGAAGTCATTACAGAGGATGGAAACATTCACTTCTTAGGCTCACAAGATAGGAAAAGTCAACCTTAATATTATAAGAATTTTAGCACTTACTATTTGGGACAACACATGGAGTCTTAAACTCATCTGTATTTGCTGGTTTTATATTGAACAAGGTTAGCAGTTAGAAAGGAACTTTGTCATCACTTTGCCTCTCAAAGGCGGAATAGCAGCATCAGCATCCAGGGGACTTTATTATACACGCAGAATCCTGAGCCCCACACAGTCCTGCCCAGTTAGAATCTGAATTTTAATAAGATCCCTGGGTGATCTGCATGCACTTGGCAATTTGAGGCACACTAACCTTGTAAGGATCTGATGCTTAAGATTAATGTCTCTTAAAATCATACTGATTTCAAAATCTAGGAACTGACTCACAAATTGTATTAGGCAACCTGTCCTTAATCAAAATGTAGGAGGGGAATGATGGGCAATGAAGAGTGAAATCCAAAGGAAAATGGTGCAGCAAGGCTGGGTTAAATGGTTACACTGCGCCCGTGGTTACCCTGCCAAGAACACAGAGTGCTAGCTGGCTGCCACTGCACTTTTGTCCACAGGACCAGAGAATCCTAACTGAAGTTTGGCCTTATTAACATTCTTTTCACCTTTACCTACTGTAATTCCTTAAACAACAAAAATAAACAAACAAAATCTGATGCATCTAGGAAACAAAGATATCAAATTGTATATGTCAAAAGGAGTAAGAACAAAAAGAGGAAAGCTAGAGAACAACTGACTCTGAGGTTAAAAGGAAAGCTACTAAATGCAAAGAATGCACAGGCAATCATGCCTATAACAAGCTCAGAGTAAAGATAGCAGGCCTGAGCCTGCCGCTTGGGAAAAAGTGTGTTAATGCAATTATAAAGCCTATAAGGGAAGCGAATTCCCTCATTATGGCACATGCCCCATATCCTAACACTGCTCCCTCCTGTCCTCAGTCTGTACCTGGAACAGCCCAGGTGTTCAGCAAAGGCTAGGCAAAGGAGTGGTGATGTGGGAACTTACAATGATAAAATCACCATGAGCCCTGCCTTTATAAGCTTCTTAGCACCACACTTGCATAATATTTTGAAATTTCATTATTACATTAATTGAGTAAAGAAGATAGTATACGTGATTAAAATAGCAAAATATAATGAAGGTTATGACTTAGGCAAAAATTAATTGTATGGGGGCTCAGAAGAGGGACTGATAAATGACAGCTAGGGAGGCTGGAAAGAAGGCATCAAAGAGCTGAATCTGGATAAATAGGACAAAATCCTATGATCCTCCTTCCCTCCTCCAACACCTTTTTTTTTTTGAGACAAGATTTAACTCTGTCACCCAGGCTGGAGTGCAGTGGTATGACTGTGGCTCACTGCAAGCCTTGACCTCCTGGGCTCAAGTGATTCTCTTGCCTCAGCCTCCCAAGTAGCTGGGACCACAGGTGCAGCTAACTTTAAAATTTTGGGTAGAGATGAGGCCTCACTATGTTGCCCAGACTGGTCTCGAACTCCTGGGGTCAAGCAATCCTCCTGCCTCAGCCTCCCAAAGTGTTGGGATTACAAGTGCGAGCCACCGCGCCCAACCCTTCCAACATTCTTGAGAGGTACTGTTTGCTTGGCCCTATTCTAGTATCATCCTCTTTTAAGGAGTTGGCTGCACACTTAGGCAGGTCTAGGCCAGCATGTGAAACTGGAAGCTCTTTTTTCCTCCATGAACTTCACAGTTTGATGGCCTCATTGGAGAGTGCTTCCACCTACACTCACCTCTCTCTTTCAGGCCTTGCTGGGAGACAGGCTATTCAGCTGACAATTTCACTCAGGGTTAGAGGTCTAATGGGTTATGCATTATCTGCCCCTTCAAGAAAGGAGAAAGTCGTTTGCTGCTTCTTATAAAATGCCCCTAACCTACAAGAATGACACTAATGGCAGAATTTTGGGGGCGGCGGCCATCATCCAGAAAATGTTCTTGGACTTAAGTCCTTTTGGAACTACCAGACCTCTTCAGAGAGATCTAGGTTGAAAAGGGGCTAACTCTAAATGTGTTTGACTTTGACATTACATTTTTTAACAAATGAGTATTTGAAAAGCCAGAAAAATCTAACAATGTCAGGGCTGCTGGGTATGGTGGCTCATGCCCATAATCCCAGCACTTTGGGAGGTTGAGATGGGTGGGTCACTTGAGGTCAAGAGTTTGAGACCAGGCTGATCAACGTGGTGAAACCTCGTCTCTACCAAAAATGCAAAAATGAGTCAGGTATATTGGTGGGCACTTGTAATCTCAGCCTGTAATAGGGATGCTGAGGCAGGACTGCTTGAACCCGGGAGGTGGAGGTTGCAGTGCGCCAAGATGACACTACTGCACTCCAGCCTGGGTGACAGAGTGAGACTCAGTCTCAAAAAACAAAACAAAACAAAAACAAAAACCCCCAGGGCTACACTTCCATACAGTTGGAAATTAGAAAGAGCAGCAGCAGGCCCACTTTAGAGGACTGGATGCCCCCAGGTCCCTCAGGCATTTCAGATCCCTGCCTAACTCTGCAGGTGCAAGTTTGCAGCCTTGGGCTGGGATGCTCAGCAGCTCTAGGCACAAGTGGGGGTGAAATCATCTAGGGCTGCTACCACATTTGTTACACAGGCACCCAAAAGGCAGGGTGAGGGTGAAAATAATTCTCCTTGAGGACTCTGTCCATTTTCGTTTTTTCTTTTGAGACAGGGTCTTGCTCTGTCACCCAGGCTGGAGTACAGTGGCACGATCACGGCTCACTATAGCCTCAATCTCCCAGGCTCAAGTGATCCTCTGGCCTCCCCAGTAGCTAGGACTACAGGTGCGTGACACAACGCCCAGCTAATTTCTGTATTTTTTATAGAGACAAGGTTTTATCAGGTTGCCCAGGCTGGTCTCGAACTCTTGGGCTCAAGCAATCGGCCCACCTCGGCCTCCCAAAGTGCTGGAATTACAGGTATGAGCCATCATGCCCAGCCTGTCCCTTCACTTGTTTTCCCACCCTACTCTCATGGTACCTAGGTCTGTTTTCATCACCGGAGGCCATTATCCATGATCAGTTACCAGGAAGTCACGAGAGAGACTAGAAACAATGAGATTGGATTATTCTTCTGCCCACCCACTGGGGATTTGGAGCTCAGTGCTCACAGAAGTGAGTTGACAGAAGCCAATTCACTTGAATAGGCTGCACTGCATCCTCTCTTCTTTCACAAGCCCCAAGAACACATCTAACAACTGGGCACATCAGGGGAGAGTGACCCAGACCGAAATTCCATGCTTGCTGTAGTCATTTTTATATTTAAACCCAGTTTAATGTCTTAATTCCTGGGGATTCAGATTCTTTGCATTGGGTTTAGATTCATGTCTTGGGGCTTTTTTTTTTTTTTTTTTTGAGACAGGGTCTTGCTATGTTGTCTAGGCTGGCCTCAAACTCCTGAATTCAAGTAATCCTCCCACTTCAGCCTCCCAAGTAGCTGGGACTACGGATGTGTGCCACTGTGCCCCATTAATTTTATTTAATTTTTTTTTTTTAATTATGGGAGCTATATAGTTTACTTAAGTACATACAATAAAAAACGAAAACCCACTCAGGATATCTCTGGAGATGATTCCTCTTAGTTTGATATTCTTCTATTCACAAATACACATTACATTATTTTCTTGTATAAATATGGCCATATTAGACAGTTTTATATTTTTCACACAGCATTCTAATTTTAACATCTTCCCACATTTTTAGATGGTCCATACTATACCGGCTAAACAACATTCTATTTTATGGATGAATATAATTCCTTTTTCTAATTGTCTATTCTTAGACATTTGGTTTGCCCAAACTATATAAGCAGAAGAAAGTCTTGTTCTTTTTGCCACAAATTGAGGTCCAGAGTGGGTGGATTGTGAAACTGCAGGTAGACTCTACAACTCTTCTCTTAGGGTAAAAGCGTAATAGAATTTTTCTGAAGTGGCTTTTCAGGGAGAAATCGCTATTGCTTTTTGTTTCCTCTCCTGGTGCACGAACCACCATGAAAGACTTTCACTTCATCTGGGAAGACAGAATCCACAGGACAGGCTATTTTCATACCTGACATGATGTGGCATGCATATTAGAAAACCTGACTTTCCATTTTCTTTTGCCTTTTATACGTATCTCTCAGCATTCAATCAGATAGGAGTTATACGTACTCTTGGCAAAATAGCCACCTGGTTATTTTAAAATTCTTTCAGCAGGGAGGCAGGCAGGGACTAACCTGCCCACTCTGTTGGAGGTGGAAAATGTTCTGTTCTGGGAGTCTGGGTCCCCGCGTCCCAAACACTGTTAAAAAGACAATAATCTATGCCAGTCTGGCTCTAGCAGGCTAGGCCTTTTCTCACTGGGGTTAACAGGTTTGTTTTTACCAGAGGGTGTTGTGAAGATTCCCAGGGTGATGCCAAGAGCATTTGAGGGAAAAAACACAACTTTTGCTCTTGACATTTTAGATCTGAAATGGACTTTCTGTTCTAGTGACTATGAGCCTGCCCAAAGAAAAAGTGACTTCTTAGAACAAATAAGGAAAGCAAGTCTTGGCTGGTGTGGTGGCTCACGCCTGTAATCCCAGCACCTTGGGAGGCCGAGACGGGCGAATCACTTGAGGTCAGGAGTTTGAGACCAGCCTGGCCAACATGATGAAACCCTGTCTCAACTAAAAACACAAAAATTAGCCAGGCAGGGTGGTGCACGCCTCTAATCCCAGCTACCCAGGAGGCTGAGGCAGGAGAATCGCCTGAGCTTGGGACGGGGAGGTTGCAGTGAGCTGAGATTGTGCCGCTGCACTCCAGCCTGTGAGACTTTGTCTCAAAAAAAAAAAAAAAAAAAAAAAAAAGGCAAGTCTTTCATTAGACTTGCTAGTGTACAAAAAGGCAAGGGTTGGATAGGTAGAGAAATCCTCCCTTTCTAGCTGTGTGGCTTGGGGCAGCTGGGCTGGCCTTTAGGATCTCAGTTTCTTCAACTGCCAGGACAGAGATACCTATGGCTCCCTCACACAGCTATTGCCAAGATTAAGTGGGAACATGTAAATGAAATGCCCGCATGATGACTGACATAGCATCAATCAGTGTTCGCTTCCTTCCCTTTTTCTTGACTCTCAGCACTAGTAATTGCCGCAGTATACTCATTCATAAAATAACAAAAGCTACACAACTATGCCACATGCTTAAGATACAAAGATAAATAAGATAGTTTCTCAGTCCTTGTGTACTATCTGGTATTCAATATCTATTGAATAGGGCTAAGCAGCTCAAAGCCTGCTGCAAGACACAGGCAAGTGACAAAAAGTTATTGTAATAATTATAAACATAATTTTGATGTAATGAAAAAAGTGTGCTATGGGATCACAGGGGAAGAATATGGACAGGGTGCTATAAAAGGGTCATCTAACTCCTTTTAAGAGAATTGGGGAAGAATTTCTAAGGATGGTTTTGATAGATGAGTAGAAGTGTTCAAGTGGAGCAAGAAAGAAGATGGTGGTAGGAAAAGGCAGAGGAAACAGAATGAGCAAAGGCATGAAGGGCAGAAGAGGCATGGTGACAAAGAAATGAAGCAGGAAAGGTAAACTGTGAAGGACTTCCTATGCTATCCCAGGGAGTCTGGGCTTTAATCTTTAGACCAGCTCATCTCAGACTTTAATGTGCTAAAGAATCATCTGCAACACTGTTAAAATGCAGGACGGATCTGTGGTATGATAGGGCCTGAGATTGTGCATTTCTACCAAGTTCCCATGGTGGTGGAGCAACTGGTCCATGGGCCATATGATGGGTAGCAAGGCTCAGAAAAAAGAGAGTCAAAAGATCCCTAAAGAGGAGAGTGACATGATCAGATTTATTTGCTAGGATAAGCTCACTAAGCTACAGTGTGGACGATGGACTGGAATTACAGGTACTTTCTACATTCTTATTTAATGGTGATTCCCACAATATCTCCAATGACATAACACAAGAAGACTGCAGACTCTTAAGAGCTGGAAAGGGTCATAGAGCTAATGTGGTTGAACTTTCCTTGGAGAATATGAAAGAGAGCCTTTTTTTTTTTTTTTTTTTGAGACAGAGTCTCGCTCTGTTGCCCAGGCTGGAATGCAGTGGTGTGATCTTGGCTCATAGCAACCTCCGCCTCCCAGGTTTAAGCAATTCTCCTGCCTCAGCCTCCTGAGTAGCTGGAACTACAGGTGCGCGCCACCACATCCAGCTAACTTTTGTATTTTTAGTAGAGACAGGGTTTCACCATGTTGGCCAGTATGGTCTCGATCTCTTGACCTTGTGATCTGCCCGCCTCGGCCTACCAAAGTGCTGGGATCACAGGCGTGAGCCACCGTGCCTGGCCAAGAGAGCTCTTAAAAGGTGACAAGATCTCCCCAGGGTCAGAGAGCTACCTGATGGCAAAGCTTGGATCGTTTCACTAAGATCTACTTATCCATGTTCTTTCTGCCAGCTGCCCTACTCCAGGACATCAACTTATATGCAGAAAGCTGAATTGTTACTGAGCATTCATTGGAATTGAGAAGAAATAAAGGATGTAGGGAAATAGTCTTTGTTCAGCCACTCAGAATTATGGAGGATATGTATACTGTACATGCCAGGTTAGGAGAACTCCCACAATGGCAGGTCACCTGGCAGTATTTCCAGGTATTAGATTCCATGTGCCCCTTCCATCTCGTGTCTTAGAAACATGCCAGAAGTGCAGATTCCCTTGTGGGTAAGTACATTAATGCCTACATGTTCTTGGTGGGTGTTCCAAAACTACTTTGTATCTACAGGAATGTTTGATGAAGCAGGTGGTGGGAGAAAAGGGGAACTAACACGGCTCACATGCCTACTCTGTGCTATACACTGACCTACACTATTTAATTTGTTTCTTAAAGAGCCTACACATAATGCATTCTTTTTTTTGATTTCACACCTCAGGAAAGTAAGGTTCCTAGAAGAAAAACACAGAACTGATGAGAAAATAGTAAAATGGAAGCAGCAGGACCACAGGTTTTTGGGAAACGGAAAAAGATCCAGAAAAACAGTCATTTTAGTTATCTCTAATCATAGGATCTGGCCTTCCAGGAAAACAGCAAAACAGGGAGGAAGAACACACTGACATTCTCCATGGGTCCCTGATGAACAAACAAAACTGTTTTAAGAAGGCACTTCCAGGATAAGAGGGGTCTTATTAAAAGGTTAAAGTAGCATGGACCAGATGCAGTGTCAGGAGATTACAGGCAGGATCTCACTCTGTAACAGGAAGTAAATCCTGCCAATTCATGCAATCACATGTCTTCTGTTTTGATCTGCGAACAAGTGACTGATGCATTGAGAAACAGCTGATGCCAGTCTTTCTTAAAACTTGTGGAAAGGGGAAGTAACAGAAAAAAATTATTAACCAGCTGAGTAATCTAAATGCCATACCAGCAAGAATCTTATTTAGATCCATGATTTTTCATGGATCTTAGAAGCCAGAAATCTTGGACTCATTGGAGTCTCTAAGGCAGAACTGCAAAATGGCCAGCTTTGAAGGAGAATACTAAAAGACATAAGAAATTTCATCTCCTTTAAAGGGGTAAGATGAAGGTTTATAAATTCAGCAAGACCAAAAAGAAAGTCCCTTGTAAAAGGTGTATTAAATACATCTTCCTTTTGCCTCTGTCTTATGCCATAAAGGCAGTTCAAACTTTTTGACCTAAGTGCATATTGACCCTGTGCTAAGCACTGTTGTATGAATTATCTCATTTAATGCTTATAATTCATTATGTAGGTATGATTATTATACTACACAGAAAGAAAGGAGAAGATTAAGCCAGCATTCTAACTGTTGTGGCAGCCTGACTCTTCTGACGAGTCAAAAACATACAGATCCAGGAGGTGGATGAACTCTCTTTTGTCGGGGTGATGTTCAAGGAGAGTTATACACAGTACATGGCTCCCTAAGTCACAGGGCCTTTTTATTATCTGATTTTTGAGCAGAAGGACTGCCCCTGTATTCATCTGGAGGTCAAAATACTTGCTTGGGGTAATGATTAGTCAACAATGAACTGTTGTTACTTCCCTTCCCCTGCTGCCCAACATCTAGTCAATGTTGAAATGAGGCTGTAAACATGAGTAAGGAGTCCATCTTGCAGATAACTTCCCACTTTCCTTAGGGTAGGACATTTTTATCAAGTCTATGAACAGCCTGAAGTGGAATCATGCTGATGTCTAGAGATAGGATCCTGAGAGGGGCTAGATCAGTGTTTGATATCCAATTATGCTAAAATGGGATTTTTATCCAATGCTACTGGTGCTGTTTAGAAAGGCCAGAGCTGTCGTGAAATCCAAGGAGAATTTGCTCTGTGGCTCTACAGACACTGAGAGAAAGGCAAGCTGCCTTTCTGCAAGGTGATATAGTGCTTCTTTGACTTTGGGGTCAGAGATATAATGCCTCCTCAGACTTGGGGATCAGAGAGAGTGCAGAGGGATGACAGACAGAAGCTGCCTTTTGGCAACAGTTCCACAGAGATGCAGGGTCTTAAGTGACTGTTGTTACAAAGAACTTTTCTCCTTTTTGGTTGAATGAGAACTGATCCCCTCAAGGCCCCAAATGATAGTTACCCATTCTCAGTCATTGGCGTGATGGTTGCAGCCACAAGACCCTGAAGTTTCTTCTTTGGGAAGGCCATTGAGCTGCTGGTAGGTCTGGAAAACATACAATGTAATTTCTCTCTTTCTTCAAGGAATGTCAATGATAAAACTCCCAGGCAAAGTTCATTTCTAGTTTAGAACTGTAAAATGTGCTTACAAGTACACAAACACACAGAGCAAGTACAAGATGGTAAAATTTTAGAGCTTAATTCTACTGAGGAGGAAACTTTAAGACAGGAGAGGGTAGACCTGAGAAAATACTATGTGGACAGCCTTCCATTTTATCTACACAGATGATGGAAGCAATCTAAATCCTCAAAGGATAGAGGTAAACAGGAGCAGACCCAAGAAAGAGCTTGAACCTAACTCAGGTAAGTAAAACATACAGTGAATTATAGTCATGCCTCAGTATACACAGAAAATTGGTTCCAGGACCCCCATGTATACCAAAATCCATGCCTACTGAAGTCACGCAGTCAGCCCCAGCCTGGCATATGAGAATTCTGCATCCTGCAAATACTGATTTTCTATCTGCATTTGGTTGAAAAAAATCTGTGTAAATGGACCTGCACACTTCAAACCCATGTAATTCAAGGGTCAACTGTACTATTACTTAAACTGAAATATGGTCATAAAAGGGGACATTTTCTCTTTCCACTGTCTTCATTCTTAGAATCTCACCTAAAACAAACCTGACTGTCTTAAGGTTTCATCTTGATTTACATAACTACCTTCAGATTTACCTAACTTTTCATATCCTAATTTTGCCCAGTTTTGTCCAGTTTTCCTAGTTCTAGTTAACCATGTAGACTGCATATTCACACCTTCCTCTTCCCCACTAGAGCAGGCTCCCAGGACAGGGATGTTTCATTTGCCTTTGCTCTCTGCAGTGAGCCCTCTGCTTGACACCAGGTGTTCAAGAGAGAAGAATATGTGGGTGACTGAACGAGGTGTTCAGACTGTGGCTGGACGATGGCTTCCGCAGACGGGGAGCTCACTGCTGAATCAACCTCACACCACTCATTTGGGGCCAAAGGATCTCTCACCATCTGGCAGAGAGTGTACCTGCCCATAATCAGTGTAAAAGACTCTGGATGGGCCACAAGAAGCAACAGAGCAGACTGGTTAACAGCCTGGGTTCCATAGGCAGACCACCTGGTTCAACTCACAGCTCTGACATTTGCTAGTTATAGAAGCATTATTGTTTTCTGAGCCATAAGACATAAAAAGCCACAAATGCAATTCCAAACCACAAATTTAATGTCTAACAATTGAAAATGAAAATAAAATATAATCAGATAGTATTTGATGACAATTCTACAAAAGATAGTGGCCTTGTAGCAAATAAAGAGATGTCTATAGGTGACCAAAAAGAAGGGTTATTCTATAGTTCTGACATTACTGGCACATTCAAAAACCCAATGCCCACTATACTTAAATCTAATCCACACAATGTAGTACTTAGTTATGAGCTATCTTATTTTGTTTGCTCTTCTAATTGTTCATCTTACCTTCCCAAATAGGAGAACAAACTTCTGAAGTACAGCGACCATACCTTCTATTTTTCTTCCCCAAGTCTTGGCTCAGGTAAGCCCTTGAGTAACACTGACTACTTTCAGTAGAAAGACAACATGATACTTTCCTTGCAAACAGACATGTTCCCAGCAATAGTTGCTGTTGCTCCTAAAATCAAGTCCTGCATGTAGCTTTGCTCTGTATTTCCTAGTTCAAACATGAGACTAAAATCAGATTGGAAGTTCAGAAAGATAAATCCAATAACCTGGCCCATGGGAGAACACAAGATAAGAAATCATAAGATGTGGCTCTAATCACTCTTTGAGCTTCATGTGACCACCCTTGGTCCAAAAGCATGCCACTTAGCCTCTGAGCCTTAAGGCCCATAACCTAGGCCATCTCCCCGCCGGGAGGGATGTTTAAGCATCAAAGAAGATTGATGCTATGCCTGCTGTCTATCTTCACCTAACACTCCTACAAGCATCTCGACTTAACATGCCAAAAGGGAACCTGCCATCTCCTTTGTTCCTTACTGTAGAGGGGTGAGAGGGCCAGCTCTGGAGTCAGACCTCATGGATCTGCATCCTGGCTCTACCACTTACCAGGTAGGTGACCTTGAGCCCATTAAGTAACCTCTTTCTGCTTCAGTTTCCCCTTCTGTAAATGAGGATAATACTAATTATATTTCATAGGGTTGAGAGAATTAAATGAACTAATTCATGTAAAGTAATTAACAACAATGCTACACACATAGTGAGTACATGTTCAGAGCCCTCCATGAAGTCTTGCCTGAAGTGTATAGGACAGTAGGAAATACTATCATGCCCTTACCAGCATCATCTTCCCCGTTATCTTTGCTCTGCTGGTGCCTCCTTTCCAACCCTCACTACTCTTGTCTATTTAGGGACTAAGTCATTTCAATTCTGTTATCTTCTTCCTCTGCTATTCCTCCTTTCCTCCTTATGACTTTATAATTTGCCTCTTTGTTACCTCTTATCTAGACAAATAGGCAAAACCACGGGGCCCAAGAAGGTTCAAGTGATAAGAGTCCTGAGAGCTTGAGTCAGCATTAAACATCTCCTAAATCCAACACTACTAGGCTGTTTGGGCTAAATAAAACTCCATAGTCTTGTGCTTTTGCCTGCATTTATTTCACACTAAGGACAGTAACACTGATGTTCTTAGATTCATGAGAAGCTCAAATTGGCAGTTTTATGTGTGTCTTTGATGGAAAGAAATAAAACTAATTACCACAAATGTAGTTTGATTAGTTCAAAAATTCAAAACACAGGGTCCGTGGGAGTGTAGGATAGGGGTTAGGAATCACTGTCCTAATCCCTCTTCTCTTCAATCCACACCAGCTGTCACGTTAATCTTCCACTAAAACCAGCATTCCTGGTCTTGTCTTTGTCCTGTTTAGAAAATGCTAGTAGGCTAAAGACCCAGCTCCCTGGGGTCTGGGTCTCTGTTCAAATCTTCATGCCTGCACTGCACTTGCCCAGCGTTCTGTTTGCTGTTCCTCCTACCTACCTTTCACTGTCTGTCTGCTTGCCTTTGTTCCTCACTTCAATCTTTTCAGTCTGACCAGCTTTTAAAGCTCACTTTATCCATTCCAGCAGCTATAGCTTAAAAACAAAAACAAACAAAACCAAACCAAAACAAAAAACCTCATTTTAAAAGCCAGGGGACTCCCTGGTACCCGAGCCGAAAATAATTTCTTAAACCTCAGAATTCCCCCAAACGCTGGCTTTTCATTAAAAACCTTACATCAGAGTTATTAAGCAGGGTGGTTTCGGCTCCTCTCCTAGACTGTCTGCCATCTGGGGGCAATGACAGCTTCGAAAATTTCTTTGCACAGAGCAAATACACTAAACAAGTAAAAGTTTGCTGCCTTTGCAAACTGTGAAATGCCTACAAGAAGAAATGGGATAAAAACGACTTTGGCTGGTGTGAGGGCTCACTCCTGTAATCCCAGCAATTTGGGAGGCCGGGGCAGGCAGACCACCTGAGGTCAGGAGTTCGAGACCAGCCTGGCCAACATGGCCAAACCCCGTCTCCACTAAAAATACAAAATTAGCTGGGCGTGGTGGTGCGCGCCTGTAGTCCCAGTTACTCAGGAGGCTGAGGCAGGAAAATGGCATGAACCCGGGAGGTGGCGGTTGCAGTGAGCTGAGATCATGCCACTGCACTCCAGCCTGGGCGACAAGAGTGAGACTCTGTCTTTAAACAACAAAAGCAAAAACAAAAAAAAAAGTCTTTACCAGAGAATGGTATTTTTAAGATTAAAGTTTTTAATAAACTTGGGAATGTTATACTTTGAAGCGTAACAGAGAATTACCAATATTTTTAAGATTCAAGTTTTAGATAAACTTGGGAATGTTATGCTTTGAAGTTTTCAGAGCTAGTAGCTAAAGAGAATGGTTCAAATGTTCTCCAGCCTAAGGCTTAACGTGAATTTAGAATATTATTATTGAAAGATTGGGAGGGGGTATTACTCTTGAAATCTTATACCTCCATCCACAGATAAGAACACTTAGTGCAAAGAATTAAAGCTGCCTAAGTCAAATTATTTTTCAAATGGCAAAGTTGTTTTTTCAAGAGATAGAAAGTGGGGGTAGACTATACCTCCCGGCAGAGAATATCTTAAGCGACAGGTACTCAGAGAAGAGGAAATACAAATAGGGATTTTTTTAAAAAGCAGAAAACCATTAATTTCTCCTAAAGTGAAGGGGGGATGTATCAGATTTAACTTTAAGCTCCCTTCCGCTCAATTGCTAACTCTATTTTTGAGGAAAGGACCTTCGGATACCCGGCACATACGCTGTCTGCAAACAATCCGGGGGAGTGGGTCCTTCTGCCCTGGTCTATCCCCACACTTCTTGCATTCACACCTTTCCCAGCTCTGTTTCCTAGCGTATCTGCCTTCCCCCTTTCCTCCGAGTCCGTCACCGTCTCACCCACCCGCGAGTCAGGCCCCGGCGCCCCTCCACCGGAACGCCCAGGTTGTCTGGCCGTCTGCGTCCGTCGGTCCTCGCCCGCGCAGTCGCGGGCCGCGCCCCCCACCAAGCCTCCGCTCCGTCCGTGCCGCCGCTCCGCCCCGCAGGGGCCGCCGCGCTTTATATCCGCTGCCGCCCGTCCCGGGCCCACGTGCCGCCACGCCGGGGAGCCTGGGGGTTGTAGTTCTGCGCCGCCGCCCGCGAGGCGCGCCCGGAACCGCCGGCCCCGAAGCCCCGAAACCCCGAAACGTTTTGCACACCTGGAGTCTGCTCTTCCCCAGTGTCACCTGAACAACGTAGGCTGAAGTGACTCCGGCGCAGCTCCCCGGCTCTCCGAGGATCGCGAGCATCCGAACTGGCAGCCGGGTGCCCGAGAGCACGCCGCTCACCCGCGCCACGCTGAGTGCAAACCTCTCCCTGCCTCGTCTGCAGGCCAGTCCTTCCCGCGTGCGGACACCTCCTGGGCTCCGCTGCGTCTTAATTTTCCTTCTTTTGCGCAGGGCTCTGCAATCCCCGCTATCTCGTGGTTCTGCGTTGTGAAGTTTGGGCTGCTGTTTCCGAGGCGTGCGGAGACACCCCAACTGCCCATCGGCGTTCAGCTCTCTTCCGGCTGACGCCGCTGCACCAGCCCTGCAGACTCTCGTGTTAAGGATTGATGAGCGAATTTTAAAGTGAATTATCTACTCATACAGGAGCTTTTCTGGCTTCTTTTGGAGAATATTTGAAAGAGTTTTGAAAGGGAAAAGTATTTTTAACCCAACCGCCTCTACTTTCAGGAATATCAGGAGTCTGTTATTCTAGGATCATGTACTGTGTTAATAAATCAGGAACAGAGCCAGAGACAAGTCCTCAGTCTTCTCTTGCTGATGTGATTCCACCTCAATTTTCCGTAAAAGGAGATGGCTGATGCTTATTATTACATTTAGAGAAACTAAACTGTTAAAAGGGCTTTCCAGTTTGCAAAATGCTTTTAAATGTATTCTAATAGTTCTTGCATGGCACAGAGCACCAGAAATAATAGCTAATAAGTACTGTGTTCAGTGCTTACTCAGCCTGCACCATTCTAGCCGTTTTAAAATTTAATTCCTAAAATAACCCCATTGGTGGGTCCTGTTTTATAAATGTATATATTACAGATGAGCAAGGATCATTCCATGTTACAGATCAGAAACAGGTTTAAAGAGTTGAAGTAATTTGCCAAAGGCCATAGAGCTGATTAAGCTGTGGTTTGATTTCAAGTAGTCCAGAAGCTTGTGCTTTTAACACTATGTTATCCTGCAGGAAAAAAATAAATAAATACAAAAAGGAAAGAAAAAGAAAAACCCTTAGATACATGAAGCAAGTTCTCCTAAGGCTACAGCATGGTTTTTGGTTTTGTTTTGTTTTGTTTTTTTTTGTAATGTTAACAAGTCTTATACCATATCCTAATGATACAATGAAAGTTTTTTTTTGTTTGTTTTTGGAAAGTCACACTTTAATAAGTGCAAAATTAAGTATGTCGTACCCAAAAGGTATAGGTCATTAGGCTTAACATTGTCAACCAACAAACCAATATTCTAAATGCATGAACAAACTGCTTTTTTGTATAAATATGGTAGTGCAAGGTAATTCCTTATAATAATTTGTTAGTGTTTGCCAAGAAGCGGATGCTAAGATGGGATTAGATGTGTGAGAGACTTATTGGGGGAGGGAGTTGGAGCAGACAGGAACATCCTGCAGACTGATGTAGGGCTGACATCCGTGAACGAAAGATGGAAGAAAGGAGCATGGAGTAGGGAGAATCTCACTGCATTCTTAGAGTATCCACTCTGTGCCCTTATGAAACTCAGAGCCTATACTGTGAAGTGTCGGGGAGACATCGTTCTTTTAAAATATGGTAAATGCAGTGATAGACCTGTACAGAGATATTACAGGAACACTGAGCTCTAATCTGGGCTGAAAGGGGTGGGGTGTGTGTGTGTGTGTGTGTGTGTGTGTGTGTGATGAGGCAGGAGGGTGTTCCAGAAACGTCTTACTGGGGAAGGTCACAGCCAAGGTAAATATCAGACAATGAGTAGGGCTTAGAAGAGAGGCGTCAAAAGGCTCAGTGCTGAGCTGCAGACCTCTAACCCTCTTCTGATAAGTGGCAGGCTCTGTGAGATTTCTTCTATTATTATATAGTATTATTTAATCATCATTACTTTTCGTGCTTTTATTTCTTGCCCCCAACTCCACTGCAAGGTGTTCGAGGCAGGCATCATGTCCTATTCCTTGTTTTTCCCACAGTGTAGGACATAGTGTCTATCCATGTGCAGGCCAAGAGGGTGAGATTTGGAAATATTACTACCATCAACTCTCCTTTATTTAAAACAAATGTATGTCAGGTTTTGCATCAACTTTTGTTTGCTACAATTCACATTTGAAATCCACCAGTGCAGGGGAAAGTGTTTGGGAGATACGGTGCAATGAAATTCGTCAGAACAGTCATTTGTTCTATCCTTGGAGCTGGAGGTGATGCCCCCATCACAGGCTCCTGAACTGACTGTGGGTGAGGGGTGGGACCCAGAAAGTTTCCCCTTATCTTCGGGTAAGGATATACTTACCAGAAAAGAGAAAACGGA